GCACTGCTTTGAGCCGATCTGGCCCAGCACTGCCCTGCCACTCCTAAGCAGCTTTCATCTGTGCCTCTGCTGAAGAGCAGCTTCCACGCTGTCATGGTTTGACACTGGCACAATGCCAGCGCCCCCATGAAAATGCAACCTCCCAATTGAATGCTGTGAAATGCGATCGAGAACAGAGCAAAGCAGGCCCAAGCTTAATAACAAGGGAAAAAACCTTTATTAAGCTACTTCTACTATACTACTATAAAATAAAAAAGAAAGAAAAAAAAAAAAATCACACACACAAAATTCAGAATGAAAACCTTTCAAAACATTCCTCCCCCCAACACCCAACTCCAACAAACCACAGTGAGACACAATCTGGACCCCAATCAGGTTTTCACCCTCCAGACAATCGATACTCAGCCCATCGAGGGAACAGAGTCTCTCCTGTGCCACAGACCCCCAGAGAAACACAGCTGCCACATCCTGTGCTTCCATGTCACACATGGCACCGCCCGGAGAAAATCTGCCAGTGTGACCCTCTCCTTTCCATGCACAGTGCTCTCACCACCAATGCATGGATGCTGGGCAGGGGGGAATCCTGCACTGCACGCTGACCGGAACCAAAGGGAGAGAAAGTTCTCCTGGGAGTTCTGCTTTTAACCCCTCTGTGTTCTCAGAGGTGTGTCCACTTTCAATTGGTCACCCCAAGTGTCAGTATCCAAACCTGACCCCTGACTGGATTGACCTCTTCCTTCCGAGAAAATTCTTTTTGCGTGTCAAACCACAACACTCGCCAAGCCCAGTTTGCCTGTTCCTCTTTCCACCATCCACTGGGAATCAGCCTTCAGCTCTCCCCTGGCTCCTGCCTGTGGCGTGTTAGCAAGCAGCAGTGCCACAGGGAACAGCTTTCCAGAGCTTTCCTCTGCTCTCCGCAGCACCAAGCTCTGACAGGTCCTCGCTGAAATGAGGGGTCTTGGCTGAGCCTTTGCAGCTCAGCTCAAACCTCCCCGTGCCACCAGAAAGGTCAGGAGCCCGCCTCTCCTTCTGAATGGCCAGCTCCAGCCTCACCTGTATAACCTGCGGAACAGAAGTGACAAATAGTCCATGGGAGTCCTTTGGCATGAAGGTCAACCCCTTTTCTATTTCAAACAGCTTTTATGGAAACAATTAGTTCTCCATGAGTTGTTTGCATTTCAGAGCTAGCAAGATGATGAAGTTAATACCAACTTAATTACATTATTGGATTTTTGACTGAATATCTGTCTGTCAACAAACATCCATTTTAGAAGTGAGGTTTCAAAATTAATGGAGACAATTATTGCTTGACTTCTAGATCTCCTGAGCATGGCTTTTCTATCTTCTTTGGTTCCCCATCTGCAAAATATAGCTATTTTCTGCTTCACAGGAGGCTAAGGATTAATACTTTAGTATTATTGAAATAGCAATCTGTGCAGCGATTTGGGTATGGCTACTTGAATTAAAAAGTTCTGCTTTGCAAGGTCCCTTGGTCATAATGATCCTTGGTATTTAGTGGCATGAGAGGCATAAAGAAAAATTCATTTTCAGCTGAACATTGTGTACAACTAGAGTCACAAATTGCAAGACAAGGAAGTGGAATTTAGTTTCACTCCAGCACAGATTTCTTGGGCAGAAATCTGCAAATCCATTCTGTGGATGCAGATACAGAAAGCTCAGGAGGACAAATCTACATTGTCCCTATGACAGCGTGTTCTGAGCAGCTGCCAGCAGGGAGCTCTGGGTGACAGCGTGTGCCTCGTTAGTGAAATAAGATAGGTTTGCTTTGCATTAAAAAAATAAAAGACCAAAAGTCCTACAGGACTAGAAAGAGGTCAAACTGTAATTCTCTTTTCTGGCATGAAATGGAGCAGGACACCCTCTATGAAGCACAGTGATCCATATGGTTTAAACAGATGTTTATGGCCTAATGCTGTTTAGTATCATTTTTTTAATCTGTAGTCCATGCGCTTTTGGGAACTTCCAAACCCATTTACCTCCTACACCTGCAATGCATGATGAGACTGAGGAACACTGGACATTGCTTCTAGTTTATTTCTTGAACTGCATATTCTGTATTCTCTTATGCAATAGCCTTTTCAAGGCAAAGTTTTCATAAGAATCCGTAAATCTTGGAAGAACTGGTAGGAGTCATTCTGTCAGACCCAGCAGGCACCATCCACACAGGTCTTTCCAAGGTGGGGATCATTTCAGAATGCTTGGATCTGGGCTGTCCAGAGAGGATTTAAGGATGACATATGACCCAGGCATTCAAAAAAGTGTTGTCTGGAGAGCCATGAGTTATTTGGTTACTTTGCACATTCCTGTTGCAGACTCTCATGTTGTTAATGGAGTGTTCCACTGGGCAGAGCCTTGAATGTAAACTGGTACAAAACAAATCTTTCTAGTGTCCAGAACAGCCTTAGATTTTATTGCCTGGGCAATGTTATACTCCTCAGGCTGGTGATTCCTGGTTTCTGTCTTGTGCTGGGGTCTTTAGGAGCAAGTGCTGGCATTGCTGTGAGCAAAGCAGACAGAATGCAGTCATTGGCACAGTGAAATTCACCTCACTCTGCAAAGAAAGAAACCAAATGCTCTTCCTTGCTTTTGCATCCCTTTTGAGAAGAGAGATTTTCTTTCAGGCTTCCATTTTGATGTTTGGCATCAGAGTTTATGACTTTCATCAGGAAACTAATATCTGCACAAGCTTTCATTATTTTTAATCTGATGAGATCACATCTGTATTAAAACACTGACATATCCTAGTTCATGGTAGCTAGACTGCTTCCTAGGTAGCCCTTCATTTAAAATTACAAATCTTGTTTGAAATGCTTCAATCTGAAGAGAAACCAGAAAGTTCTACATTCATCAGTGATTCACGTAAGCTATTATTTGGTAAAATAGGTAAACAACATGCTTGCAGATTGGATAGCTCTGTCATAAAACCATAACTTGTCATTGCAGTCTTAAGTAATTGGTATTTAAGAAAGATAATGAATGGAACCCTGAGTCACACTAATTAGTTTTACGTACAAGAATGATGCATACAGCTTTCCTAATAAGCAAGGTTTTGATCTTCTTATAATGTAGGTGGGGTTTTTTTTCTCTTTGATTTAATTTTTAACAGATACTTATCAGGGAAGGAGTTTCCCTTTATGAGAAGAAATTGCATAGATCAGCACATATGACATGTATCTTTTTAACATGTTAATTTATTTCTAATGCTTGTTATACTCAGTTCTATTTCATTATTGTGGTACTCACCCTCCAGGTAATATTATCATTATTCCTGGTGATTAATATGGCTACAATTGTGAGGGGTTTTAAAAGCCTGTTCTAATTTTTCTGTCTTGAGAATATTTCATACTGGGAATTGGATTAAATATCAGTGTATATTAGATTAAAAATCAGTGTAGAGATGAAAGATGGATCTTTGTTTTCTTCTGGCTTCAGAAGTAGAACATCACACAGGTATAGATTCCAGAGAGCATAGTGGTATTTTTTATCAAAACTAGAGGAATACAGAAAATAGTAGGTGACTTACAGAGTAGCTAACAAGGAGACTTTTATATTTGGAAAATAATCTGTCATCCAGCATGGAAATAAGGTAAGCATGCTACTTTGAAGCCTTAAGAGAGTAATTATGCAATGCTGAACTCAAGGATTCTGTGTCTGAAGTGTGTTCTGTAAGGCCCAATACTGAAAAGCTCTGAGCTACTTCAGCTTCCATTGAATTCAGTCTGAATTGATGGTACTCAGGGACCAATTGCATTTCTTTCCAGAGCAAGGGAAGACAGATTGTGGGTCAGACTTTTGCTCTTTTATTGCACTGAATAGCACCCTTCAGAAATATTTTCAGTGAAATCAGTATGGAATGGGTTGCTCACCATCAACTGCTGAGAAACGAGTCCTTCCCTTTCAAACCTGCAATATAAATAATCTGAAAAATGTCAGATGCTTATGTCTTCTCAGAAGGGCTTTTCTCTACTCTTCAGAGCTTTTGGTTTTTTTGTTCTTTAAAACCTGCAATCACCTTATAAGCAAAGTCATATTGGTCTTTATTGCTTTTGGCAGTGTAATCAAAGTATTTTATATGTGTACATCTGGTTATGTTCTGCTCTGTGCTGGAGCATTCTGCATCAGGTGTTCTCGTTTCCTCTACAGAGAAACAGTCATGCTTCTAATCCTGGCATTCCTGCACTTGCTTGGGCAAAACCTGAAGGGTTTTATAGGATGCTGTCATCATTTTTTGTATGAATTTTTTTCTGACTTGCATGCATGCTTTTTTATCAGTAATATTATTATAATTTCTGATTTTCAGTTTGAAGATGTTTTAGAAAAATACTGATGTGTACTAACAATAAATTGTAAGCATTAAGGATGACTGAAATATGACTGTGCCTACAAATTAGGGTAAAGATTTTGAAATATATTCTGCTCTGGATCTTAGCAGACAACTGTGTCTTAAGCAAATGTGTGGGAAGAAGAAAAGCAATCCGGAAAAAGCAGCTCTTATAGTTAGTAGAATTTTCTCCCCTTTTTCCCTTCATTGAGTCTGTCTGAAAGTGGGTGTTTTAACATACAGCCATTTCTTGTTAACATGTGTGTGTTTATTTTAGCATGACGGTGTTGTTTTTTTCATCTCCCACTCTGACACAGCATGTTTCATCTGTATATGGTTTCTACTACATGAGACATTTAAAATGGCTCAGCGAAGAAATGGATTCTTGTCACTTAAACTGTCACTCTCTCATTCTGTGGAAATGTGGTCATTTTAACAGATTGTTAAATTCTGTGTGCTCAAAGATTGACTATAAAAATTGAGAGTGATAAATGTCAAGAATTTAAAGGTACCCTGTTGTACCTGTAATAATTTATGTTAATCATGTTTTAATTTAGTCATTTTCAACATACTTGTATTTACAAATTAAACCACTATTATGGTTCTCCTTTGTTTGCATGATATGATTTTATTTTATATTTTTTTTTCCACTCACCAGATGTTTTCAACACTTTGCTTCCCACTACTGTCATCCCCTCCCTTACCACTGCAACAGTCACAACCAATGTAGCCTTAACAGCCAGCACAACCACATCGGCAACAGCCACCAGCATCAGAGGTACAGTATCCTTCTTTGTTATGGCCTGGGAAGCACATGATAAATAGGAAATAGCTTTGGTTTTGATTTTTTTTTTTTAAACAAAGATATAAGTTGCTTAAGAGAGGGTGCAAGCATTCAGTTCAGTGTATATTTAACAGAATAATCCAAAGGGTGATAGGTGGGTTAAGAAAGATTTCGTATGACCTTGAATGTTGTCATTGCTCTAGCAGTGTGTATGTGAACTTTGACAGGATGCTTAAATTATTTGTATACATTTGCATTTAATTTTTTAAGGTTAGTAAATTAACTTTAATGTAAAATGCAAGCAAGCTATTTTTAAATAAACGTGACCTTTTTAAGACTGGTTATTTTGGGTGCTACCATTTTAAAACAAGCTAGGTATCTCAGCACTGGAATTTCTGTTGATGAAATCTTGCTTGATAACAAAGAGGCACTGTGATACATCACCCTTGTTAGCCTTTTATAGTTAAGGCATTCCTACTTTAGGGGTGTTGTTATCTCACCAGAGCTAGAGTAAATGAGCTAAAAGTTCTCTCTCCCCTCCCTGACCCCCATCTGTTGGGGTTTTTGCTGTTATAGCTTTCCAAATGTTTCTAGTAATGCTTCATTTCTTTATGAGCAAAATATAGAGGTTATTTTACTCTTTTATTCAGTGGCTGATCAGATAACTGTTAAATAGGGAAGATGTCTGCAGAAGGTTTTGCAGATTATCATCTTCTGGTAGCTACAAATCTCTGGCGGTAAATGAAATGGCAGAAGGTTCCTATGTGGTCTCTTGAAAATTTTCGTAGCACAAGAGAGGAAATTATATTATTTTACCACACTGCAAGTGTTGACATGATGAGGTGCAGTTAGGCCAGGAAAGTTAAGACAGCTATGACATCTTTCGTATCTGGATGTGTTGTTAGTAGTCAGTTGTAGTAACTAACTTGCACTAGCTAAACTTGTACGACTAACTAAAATTCTGGTTGCCTAACTTGCAAAAATAAAGATGCTAATAGTATCAGATCACCTAAATTCTTCCTCCACAGGGCACAGATATTTTAATAATGTGGCCTTCTTGTGATAAACTGACATCAGATCTAAAATTACATTTTAAATTCTTTAATATTATCTTTAATATTACCAAAATATTATCTTTAATATTTTAATGTGAAATAGCTGTTATTTTAAGGAAGAGAGAAAGTGTTGTAGTAGTCCTTTTCCTTCAGAAAAGGAAAGCTACACCATGAAAAACAGCCCAGCATTCATGGGTCTAAGAGGTTGCAGGAGGAACATTTCCTGAAAAGGAACAGAATGACAGGAATTGTCATGTCTTTATAAAAGAGTGGTTTGTGTAAAGCACAGAAGCCTCCAGCTTTCTGAGGGCTCACATCCTGAAAGGACAATGCTCTTGGTGTGCTGTGCTGAAGTTTGCTGCCCTTCATGAATTGTTTTCTTCTGCTTGTTATGTGGTCATAACTATGTCATTGTTATGATTGTACTGATGTTTTTAATGCATTGTCTCACCTCTTAAGTGTGGTTTAGGGCCTCATTTTCTTTCCTGTGGAATGTTCATTTTCACTATTTGTGTGTCCAGCATCAATACAATGGTCTGAAAAGGGAGAATTCTCTTCTAAGTTTCAGCTCTAACCCATGGGAGAATGCATGTAATTTGATGCTACACTTGGAGAGATGCTGCTTTAAGAGAAAGTAAAAGAAAGGAAATGGAGTGATCAATTGCTGAAACATGAGCACTCACTTTTCCCAGAAAGAAAGAAGTGAATGCAGCAAAATGGCTGAAAAGATGAGACCACTTCAATCTCAAGGAAGTGTTAGATAGAGTCTGTTGGGGAGATATTCAAAGGGACAAATGAGTGTGGGAAGTCCATTTCCTCAAAATCTTGTATTGAAAGGAAAATGATAGTTTATCCCAATGCAGACAGAGTAAATACTGCATATGTAATAAACTAATGAAATTGGGTTTTTTGACAGTCTAAGATATCAAACCTCACTAAAACACAAAAACAAGGTTACTATAAACATAAATAATGGAAGATATCAATGTGGAACAAACATGAAAACGGGTGCAAAATGAAATGAGCAAGTTGTGAGAAATTTAACAAAACTAAAGTGTTTAGAGATACACTAGATGAGTAACAAAAATAAGGAAATTAATCATGAACAATGAGGACAAGGCTGAAGTAATGGGTGTTTTAGTCAACAGTGGAAGACTGCAGTGGAAACTGGAGTGCTGTTTCTTATGGGGGGTAGGAGGGGATGTTACAGTGAAAAATGACCACAAATGGTAACAGATCAAAGAATAAGGAAAGAAGCATAGATATGGTCTGCAAAGAAGCTGAAGGCACCAGCTTGTTTGGTTCTGCTTTCAAAACAGAAGTCAATATGACTCTGATGAAGAGGTATTTTCCAAGTTCAGTGGGGAAAATGATTCCATGTATTAGTGGCAAAGACATTTAGCAGAGACACTTTGGAAATGGATGGGAGACAGTGACTTCAGATATTCAGCTATTTAAATTCTATTACTTCATTCATCCTGACTTTCTTTCAAAGTACTTTATTCCCATGGCAGAGGGGGTTGGACAAGGTGCATCTCCTTGGGTCTCCTCATCCCCTCTCTGTCTTGGACCCGTAAACAATAATGTTCATAGACTTTCAGTGCCTTCTGTGGAGTTCTGCCATCCTGAATACAAGATTGAACCTCATCACCAATGTCAGAGCACTCACCCCACAGAGGTAAAAATGACATAAAAGCCATTTCAGAGAAGATCAGGTTTTTCAGTACTACCTGTTGCTAGCTGAGCAAAAAGTATCACATGAACATATTTTCCTTTGACACCTCTGCTTCGTATTACAATAAGATTTTTAACATTAAAGAATATATAAGGACATTAAGTTGAGAAACTATCCATATAGTCTCAAACACCAAAACTTTTTTAGTTTGTTTTTTTCTTTCTCTTGCTTTGTTGGATCATGTATTAAGGAAACATGTTTTCCACAGATGGTAGCAGTGTATGCTGTTTGATAATATCTTTGAACTGGGTTTCCCATAGCACAATAAACCTTCTAGACAGATTTCACTAATTTTGTTCTGAAATTAGTGCTTCATTCTTAATAATCTCCTCAGGTAAGTTTTACAAGACATTCCTCTTTTCTGCATGACTTTTACATAGTCCACTTTGATTACACATTGCTTCTCATCCAGTCACAGGAAATGTCTTTGCAGGCATATGATACAGGGTGTAAAAAGCCAATGGAATCTGTGAATCCAAAGCATTTTGCATTCTGATTATTGTACCTCCTCATTATCAAAAACCTTAATTCATAAGAAAGAAAATTCTCCAGAAGTCATCAGTTAATTGTGGAACCATGTGATTCATTGCTGTCCTAATCTGCCTGGCATTTAGTAAACAACATGAAAAAGGCTACTGATCCAGTTGGATGACAGCATGATAATTCATAAACTTTCTGTTTAGTCAAACTTTTCACTTTTTCAGAAAACATATGCTTGTTTTTGCTCTCAGTCCTTCAGGAATTAATTATTCTTTTACTGGTACATTACCTACTGACTCAAAAAACTCTAAACATAATTTGATGCCAGTGAGGAATATTGCCCTTTATATATTTGTCAAGGGTATCTTAAAGCCTAATAACCGTGATGAGGAATGTACAACAAAATGAGAATAAAATGTATGAGAAGAAACAAATCTGGAGGAGTACTGAAAGAATAATTATACACTGTATGAATATCTACATCAGTCTTTCTATCAGATTGATGTAATGTTATTTGTGAAAGCTGTGCATGGATCCATGCAATTTTTCCCTTTTATGATTGGGAAGAGGCACAAGAGGATTGTGGATTTGCCGCAACAGTGGGGTGCTTCCATTAGAGAAATTCTTTATTAGTGTAAAGTTAATTCAGGTGGTGCTGTGCCAATCTTTCCAAGACCTGTAGGTGGAGAGGGAGTGTGCTTAACAGTCTGGGAGAAGCCACCTCAAGTCAGAACAGCTCTGTGTTTCTGTATTCACAGAGGGAAAAAGCCTGTGCACACAAATGTACATAAAACCTTCCCATGGGCTGTCATGTTAATCACCACCCATCCCCCCCCCCCACACACACACACACACAAACAGAACATTTTGTTTTGTTTTAAATCCTTATTTCTATCAAGGAACATAAGAAGTAAAAGAGGTTATAAAACTTGCTTGTTTTTTACTTTTTACTGAAGACTGAACTCTCGCCTCCACCATCACCACCCAAACAGGTGGAAATGTAACAATGTCAATCCCAATCTCAAAAGACAGATCCATTCCATTTGATGGCACGTATCAGAGTGACTCAGGCTCAGCTGACTCACTTGGATGGTGACTGTACCAGAATGTTCAAAGCTTTATATAGCAATGCCTGAAAACATCTCCAGAAGTTGTTGTGTGCAGCACAGACGTGATGCTGCTCCCAGGCAGCTGCACTGGAGGGATCAAGAGTTTGTTTGTCAGGGTGACCACAAAGCCAAAAATTGCACACATTTATATATCAGTGAAATCCATGCCTTATTATAATTCACTTTGCTTTTTTTTGGTTTTGCTCTGGTATAAAATAAAGATTTCTTAAAGGAAATCTGTGGAGCTAAACTCCAGAGTTTACAGTGGCATAAGGAGGGGATTGAGGATGTTATTGTGACTTTAAGTGTGAATATTTCTTTTAAGTAGCATAACTGACAACCATCCTAGCTAAAAAATTAGGTTACTTTCTTTATTTTTTCCTAGTTTTATCTTAAAGTCTCTATTAAAAATTAAAAAAAAAAAAAACTAAATCCAACCATAATAGAATAACTGTGTCATTATAGGCAGCTTAAATGCAGAAATTACTTGAACAATACTTGTAGTTCTCATACTTTTTCCTATCAAAAAATGCTAAACATCATCAGTTCTTTCCTTATGATTTTTTTTCCCATAATCTGAATAACTTGGCAAGTTGAGATATTGATGAGGAGAGA